CTCCTCCTCCTCTTCCTCATCCTCCTTTTCTTCTTCTTCCTCCTCTTCCTCTTCTTCCTCCTTTTCTTCTTCTTCAAGGTCATCTTTTTATTATTTTTTGTTTCTTCTCGTAACAAAGAAAATTTCCATGAATGGTGATCATGCGTAGAAATCAGAGAATTTCCTACCCTCTCGTACTTGAATTTTATCGGCAATTGAATCGAAGAATGGCCGTAACAATTTTGCTGGAAGAAAACGTTGGTTTTGTTCTTCGGCATACGCGTCACGAATAGAAAAGCGAAGAATAAGCAGGAGTGCGCGCTCTCTTGCACGCAGCCTAGCGTTTTTCTCTCGAGCGTTTCACTTCGTCGAAAGAGCGCTTAGGAGAAAAACAGAAAGAGAGAGAGAGAGAGAGAGAGAGAGAGAGAGAAGGAAAGAGTGAGAGGTGGGGGGGTAAACGTTTCTTCTTTTTTCCTTTCCTTTCGTTTAGTTTCGCTGGCTGACTCGTCGAGGCGCTAGAAGGGCCGTCTTCAAGGGCCTTCGTTTCCAGTGGCTAAAGAGCGAAGGAGAGAGTAAGAGAGAAAGAGGGAAATCTTTCTTTCTTTCTTTTTTCTTCATTTTTTTTTCTCGTCCACTCTCTCTGCTTCGAAAAGTCGCGCAAGAAGATTGAAAGGAAGAGAGACATGGACGTAGAAGAAAAAAGGTTAGCCCCAGGATGAGAGGCGAAAGAGGAATTATTTTCTCGAGTCGGCTGGCAAGTTAACTGGCTTCATGGGGGAAAGACCTCTTTATTTTTCGTTCCTGTTCGGTAGCTTGTAGCCGCTTTTACGACCACGAATTCTATCGAATGTGCTGGATCGCAAATGGTGGAAAGTAAAGTTTGGAAGAGGGGTTGAGGGGGAGGGGGATAGGGCGGAGGAGGATGACGAAAGGGCTAGCGAACAAAGACGTCAGAAATTGCGCGCGAGTGGTACTTGGAAGGCAGTGCTACGCCATTTTGCCGCTGTAGCTACCGTTTTTCCTCAAGGACGCATTTGCTAAGACGGAAGCACGTAAAATTTCTCCATAAATTTCTCGGTCTATCAAGACTTTCAATGTTGATAATTTATTAGAAATATAATTCTTAATGTATAACCTCGAGTTAGGGATCAAGCTTGGCAAACGTCAATGTTTACTTTTATCTATAATTTCGTTTGATCTACATACGAGTAACTTGTTAACCTTGACCCTACACTTTCTACCCCACTCCCGCCTCTCCCCTTTTTTCATTTCTTTTCGTCTTCTTTTTCTTTTTTCTTTTTTTTTTTTTTATAGAAATCGCTATCCTTTCGTCTTACACAAACATTATTCTTCTTGAGTCGTGCCTCTGGCCTTATATACTTAGGTGGGTGTAAGTAAACATTGTACAGCACGTGTAAGTAAAAGGTAAGCTAAATAAGCGACTCTTCTCTCTCTCTCTTCCTTTTTCTCTTTCTCTTTTTTCTTACTCTAACTCTTTTTTTTATGTGCTCAGATACGCGCTAGGAGAAGCGTGTACAAAGTGTCTCTTAACCAGCAATGTCTGGCTTTTCATTCGAGTTAGTCGGTTGGCCATACTTCTCTCTCTCTCTCTCTCTCTATCTCTTCCTATTTCTCTCTTTTTCCGTCGCTCTCAACGAAAATGCGGTAAAAGAATTCCAATTCTTTGTCTAAAAAACTAAAAAAGAAAAGAAAAGAAAAAGAAAAAAGAAAGAAAGAAAAAATGGAAAACCCTATATCTCTTATTGTACTTGTCATTTCTCTTTATCTATTTTAACGGCTGCGTATTTTTCAATCCTAGAAAATGAATTCTTATTGTCTTGTATATATGATTTTTTTCGTCGACTTTGTAAAGTAAATCTTTGTGAATTAAAAGATCTAAGATAGAAGATTATTCTCATTGAATATCGAAAAAGTTTACAACTTACGTTAGAGAGTTAGTTTCAATCGTTTCGTAGATCCACATTTTTTCTCATAGAAACTAAATCGGTGGAAGAACAAAAGAGAAGGAAGGAGAAAAGCGGGAGAGAAAAAATGTGCAAAGCAATATCGAAACGCGGGGAGGAAAAGTTGGGTAGGAACAGAAAAGTGTAATTTCAGTTTGAAACAGGACTGGCAAAGAGAGAAAGAGAGAGAAACCGACCCACATCGAGGTTTCGAGTGTTTGTATTGCTGACGCGGCGATCCAATCCAATCCAATACCCATGCCAGATAGGCAGCTATGTAGTACAAGCGCATTTACCTACATATATATATATATATATGTATGTATGTATGTATATATATACATATATACATATATATATATATATATATATATATATATATATATATATAGGTATATATATATCTATATGAATGTACATATAAACGAATATTTCTCTCTTTTTCTCTTTCTTTCGCCATGTTCACTCTCATTTAATCTTTCTCTCCGATTTCAAATATATGTAATTACGTGGTGGATACTTAACAGTACGTTTCCCAGAATCTCCATTGGGTATAGCTGCTAGTCGCATTGGGTATCTACTTTGTTTGTAATTAATCGATCTATCTTGAAAGTTCGTTCGTCTGAAATCTGACGTTTATTATTCGCGAATAAATGTTAACTAGATATTTATAAAATAAAAAATAAAATAAAAAATATAATGAAATAAAATGAAATGAAAAATAGAAATTTTTGCTGTGGGAGAATATTAGGAGTATTCAAATTTTTTTCCTTTGTTTTTTATTTATTTATTTTTATTTTTTTTTCTATCGTCATAAAGTGAAAAGCTTAATTAAGTAGGTAGGTAGATAGGTAGGTAGGTAGGTAAGGAAAAGAAAAGAAAAGGGGGTACATTTGGGCCTGTAACGATTTTGGTGCAGCTCGATGATTTCGAGAAGAGGGATTGGAACGATCGGACGTGCGTCCCGTACGTCTCCTATTATCATAAACGCAACAATAACGAGGGATGATCCGACATGTAAACTGTTAAACCCATCCTACCTTCTCTGTCTTTCTCTATCCTTCTATCTGGTGCGCCCGCGCGCGCCTACCCGAGGTGAGCTACGGGGGACGAGAGTGAGGATTAGCGTTCCGTTCCCGTTGCTTGCTATGTATTGCTTGGAATTCACTGGGGGATGTTATTGTTGGCCGCTGAGCGAGAGAGAGACAGACAGATAGACAGACAGATAGATCGACAGAGAGAGAGAGAAAGAGAACGAATGAGGGCGAGAGCGAGAATACAAGGAGAAATACGGCGGAAGCACAACGGCTTTGCCTACTAGTAGTAGTCGAAGAGAACGGGGGACCGTATAAACTGGCGTGTACGACGAACGAGACCACCCCTTCGACCCTCGATAGTATCGACGCTGTTTGCCGCCTCCCATTAGGAGCTCGATTGAGCCAAACTATACGCTTATCGTGCGTCACTGATAATCCGTCTTCCGATTTACTTCGTAGGTAATTCGTTGTGGCTCTATATATTTCACTCTGTACGAATTTCAAACTGAAATCCTTTGTTTTTGTAAAAAAGGATCCAATCGATTCTCGGAAGTTCTTTCATTATGATTAGTATTTTGATAAATTCATCGAAATTTGTAATCCTTTTAATATAGATCGTAGACGGTGTTTTTGTACGCAAATATGTAAGAAATACAGATTTTCGTTAACGATGTCGTCACGTTCAATTGACTGTGTAATTAGGTAAGATCTCGATGAAAATTAATCGATCCTTCCTTTGGTCAGGATACATCAAACGAATATCACTCATGTTCTTTCTCAAACCTCCATCCCCACTTAACATCGTTTCTCTTATTTCAAATTCCCCTTGACTCTTTGGTAAAGTGCACGATTTCGCATTTCGCAAACAGACTTATAAATATTCATAAGGGTAGTAGTAGTAAAAGAAGCAGAAGTTAGAGAGAGAGAGAGAGAGAGAGAAAGAGAGAGAGAGAGAAAGAGAAAGGGAAGAAGGGTCGGCGCTTTTTGTTCTTTTGTCAGCGCGATCATTATATCGTGCCCTTAATTTCTTCTTTTTTTCTTTTCCATTTTTTTTCTCTTTTCTTTTTTCTTTTATTTTTTCTTCTCCGCCGTCCTGCTCGTGGAACGCGCGTAGGCGTATAGGAAAAAAGAAAGAAGGAAAGAAAGAAATGAAAGGATTCGAATAGACGAATGTACAAGGCGAAGCACGTTTCATGAAGCGATGAACTTGGTGAACGCTGCCGCGTGCTGCATGTTGCCCTTTCGAAAATCCGTTATTAGCATTGCCAAGCAACGTTATGACGTTTCGTGATGCTGACAAACACGATGCGTTTCCCTCTTCTTCTCCTCCTCCTTGCTCACTCCCTCACATGATCTTCTCTCTTTTTCTAGTAGTCGCGACGTCATACAACACGCGTTCTGTATTATTTGATGGATGGCAGGACACGCGCCGGCACGTTCCCATTCACCTACGTTCGAATATTGTCTATTTCTTTCTTTCTCTCTCTCTTTCTCCCTCTCTCTCTCTCTCTCTCTCTCTCTCTCTCTCTCTCTCTCCCCCTCTCTCTCTCTCTCTCTCTTCAACGCCTCATAGAAGATAGTAAATACTTCGATATCGTAGGGCTGGGTAGAGATTCTTAATCGCGTCTACTTGGTAAATTCATAAAGCTTGCATTCAGCTACCTTAATGTTCGATTTATGATATTTCTAATTATTAATAGACGAATAAACTTTTATTTGTTTAGCTCTTTATTATTTGATCTGTGTTGAAATTATTTGTCTAAACTAATATATATTTATATTAGACATATGTGTAGATTTGACCTATGAATGTATTTTTTTATTTGAGGTTTTATTTTATACTTATATATGTATTATTGTTATGAATATGTATTATAGGAATTTTTTTTTATTAAGTATTATAATAGTATATATGATATATAATACCTCATATTTTTTATATATTTATAAGGTATTAATAATATGTCGAATATATGTTTGTTCGTTCATTTAGCTAATCAATCTATTTTTTATACTTCAGGATATCATAGTGGATATCAATCGAGATCGGGAGGATATAACACCGCTAGTTCAAGTGGATCCTCCTCGTTATCGTCGGGGCCATGGGCTAGTGGCTATGGTCCGGCACCTCAGTATCTTCAACACCGATCCATAGAATATCGCCAGCAACAAAGACATCCTTACTCACACCAGCAACATCAAGCCCGAAATGGAAACAATTATCAATCTTCTCAGAAAAATTATCATGGTTATCAACAAAGGGTAAGTTATTTTTATTATTTCGATAATCGTTATAATTTTTGAATCTTAGAATTTTAATGGAAATTTAGAAATTAAATTTTAAATATATATATATATATATATATATATATATATATCGATTATGACGTTGTATATATTAACTTTTACTTTTTCGATTGGTTTATAAAAATCCTTGACATTTGAGCCAGTAATCGTGAAGGTAGTCTGCCATTTCAGATATTAAATGACAATTTTGTCGCACGTTATTCTTAAAATGTATATATTTGTAAATTACACAGAAGAATTATTTTTCAAAAATAAATATATTTATATTACTTATTTTTTTCTGTTTGTCATCATAGAAATATAATTTTTGAATAATTCAAACTAAAATGTCAAAATATCTGAAAATAAAAAATATATGATTTGGATTATTTTCATAATCACTGACTCGTTTCTCGTAAATCGTTTATTTATTCGAAATTTCTTGCTTCATAATTATATATCTATATCTACTTATATTAATCTAATTTTTTGTTATTTTAGAATGGCAATTCTGATCGATATGGAGGTGGTAGCGGAGGAAGTAGTGGGTGGAGACGATAAATGAATTACTTTTATCCTTTTCATGACGTTCGCTCTGATATTTTTTTATATTCTATTTTATGTCTTTTTAAATCGCATAATAGATTAAATTAGATAATCGAATTAACAGTGTAATAAAATAGCGGAACGTATGATTATAATGCCGATGTGAATAATTCTTATTAACCTTTTTGTTATTATTAACAATCGAACCATCTTTTATTTTAAAAGATGATAGAGAGTAACATATCTGTGTTCACGATAGCGTTCGGACGCCATAGCATTCGATGTAGTTCTTACGTGTTAAACGTACATCGTACATAATAAATGCATAATTTCATATGTATGTAGATTAGAATCAGGAAAAAAAATTGCAATCTGCAAAAAAAAATTGTGTTCGTTTTTTTTATATATATATAAATTTATGTTAATTTGAAGCAATTTATCAAGGGAACAAAAGGGGTTTTTTTAACGAGAGATATTACATATATATATATATATATATATATATATATATATATATATATATATATATATATAGGTATTTGTTTATAATTCATAAAAGAATGATATGTTAATTAAATCTAAGAAAGCATTCAAAACGAGTCTAATCTAAACATTAAAATTAAAACATACATTTATTTAGTTTATAAATTATAATGCATTTGTTATATATGTGATTGTTTTCAATATGTGTGGATTTATATATTCAATAAATGTTTAATATATATCTTATATTTTTTTTGTATGAAATCTGTTGAAAAATTTTTCTAGATACGATTCGTTTTCGCTTGCGATCTATTTTTTGTTACATATCTCTCTATTGAAACCATTAATCTTAAATATCAATTAATTTGCATAATATTTCATACTTCTTGAATACAGTAATATTGTCGTTTATCATATTCATATTTTTATTATAGAATATTTTTCTCTTTTTTTTTTCTTCTTTTTATTTCAATCTAGAAAAAAAATTTCTCTCGACTATCATAACATTCTAAGCGTTTTATCGTCTTACTTTTTATACGAATGTCTTTGTAGGTAAAACGCAAGACAATCGGCCGATCTGTTCGATGGCAGTTGTGTTTAACGATTGTATTACGATAGGCAAATAGTTATTGTTCATATTGTACATAAACATACAAATAATATACATTATCCGCTATAAAATAATCTATTAAATTAGAGACGTGTGTGTTACATTGATTAATCCTTAAACCCTTTACCTCTGTTCACCCTTATTATATCTAATCATAACAACATATGTATTTGCATGGGGAATAATAATAATAAAAAGAAAAAAGAAAATAAAAGAAGGCAAGAGCAAAAAACAAAAATGCCATACAATTTATGAAGAACATAAGTTATTTTGAGTATATTAAGACGATATCGACTCGGATCTTGATTTTGATGAAGTTATACAAAGAAAAAGCAGTAACATAAGATATATCGTAACGCAACGTACGAAGGAAGAAACCAGACGGTCTCTTGCACATCTGGTACCGGGAGCCGAGCGAGCATTGAACCAGAGAGTGCCACTCGAGAAAACAATAGCGCGCAGCGCTCTTGTTCTCTCTCTCTCTCTCTCTCTCTCTCTCTCTTTCTCTTTCTCTTTTCTTTCTCTTCTCCAGTTTTTTCTCTCTCTTTCTCTCTCTCTCTTTCTTTCTCCCTTTTTCTCCTTATTCTCTTACTATCGTCACCCTGAAATCTGGATCCAACATAGCTAAAGCAGAGGCTGTCCGCGTACTGCGTGAATGGAAGCGCGCGATTTCTTCGCTGACAAAAAAAAAAAAAGAAAAAAGTGTCCAGGCAACTTCTTTACCTCTCTTTTTTCCGTTCCCCTTTATTTCGTTCATTTGTTCTCCGTCTAACTTATATCGAAATCGATTTGAATAAAAAAGATTTTAAAACGATTAACTTTTAATTACGAAACAAATTTTTTTTAAGTTTTTCCCCAAATTTTTAAACGAAACATTTGCAAATCAAATATCTTTTCAATTTGTTCGATATTAGAATAGTTAATATATTATTCTGCTTTAATAGCCTTCAATAACTTCCTTGGTGGCAGGGTTTAGCAAAGTTAGCGTCTACTTTTACCCTTCGTTTAATTCGCAATAGACCCGCATGAAAGGTTTCACTGGTCTCTCCTCTCCCCTCTTTCTATATAGGTTACTATAAGCCGATATTTCCGATAACCCGCATAAGACAATGTACCTTTACATTCAAGCTTCTTCTTATTATTCTTCACATCTTTGTTTTATTCATTGAACAAAACCCTACGAAATTAGCTGAGATTTGGTTTTATAATAAAAACGATTTTATATTAAAGATTTATTCTTAAATAAGCGATAATTCTTCTCTCTCTCTCTCTCTCTCTCTCTCTCTCTCTCTCTCTCTTTCTATCTTTCTTTCTTCTATATGAGATTTACCGCAAAAGCTTGGATGGATGTTCGGTATATCACACGTACCTATCTATCATTCTATCTCTCTTTATCGTACACTGTGCGGTGTTATCTTGGCTTTCTCGTTGTCCCTTTGATGAAATAAAGCTTTATCCGCGCCGGGATCTACCCTACGTTAGTGGTCGCGGTGTCTCCCTCTATCTTTTCTTCTCTCTCTATCTCTCTCTCTCTTTGTCTCTCTCTCTCTCTCTATCTCTATTTCTCTTTCTCTCTCTCTCTCTCTCTTACCTCTCTTTATTCTCGAGTTCTCTCAACGGTGCAGGACACAATACGGCCTTTACATCATCATCGAGTACGAGCCGTCGCTTGCGTGTAATGCGTTCACTCTGGTTTCATACGGGTAGGTGTTTGTGCCAACGAGAACGACGAATCCTTGTGCGAACTCTATTCGATACCGGCGTTTGTTCGGAAACCGAAGGAAGGAATTTCCATGGATGCTTTTATCGATGCAAGTAGTACGAGTCAAGGATTAAAACGGAACGTAGGACGGGAAGGGGGGAGAGAGGGGGGAGAAGGGGAAGAGGAAAGATCGTGCTTTTATAAATAAAGAATAGCATTATAAATTATGATCTTTTACGATAAAGATTCGAATCGTGCGAAAAAAATCCCCCTATAATAATTCTTCACGTGATTTCGCGCGATAATTCATTTTTGCATAATTTCTTCCAAAAGATTTGAAAAAAATTAAAAAGAACCGATTTCTCTAAGCGCCGATAGTAGCGTGGAGGAGAAGGGGATGGGTTGGGAGGAATCAGTAGAGAAATATTCAAGAAGAAGTAGAACTCGATTATTCTCGTGCAAATTGAAATTTCTCTAGGAGCGAGAGACGAACGCATCGGTAGAACGAGAAAGGCCATTAAACGAAGAAAGAAATGAGGGATGGAAGGAAGGAAAGAAGAAAGGAAAGAAGGAAGGAAAGGAAGAAGGAAGGAAGGAAGGAAGGAAGAGTGAGAATGAGAGGGAAAAGGCGGAACTTTGGTACACGTAACTGGAGGCAGTCCGTTGGATGTTTGAATCGTGAAGTGGAAGGCAGTGAGAGCCCTTGTACGGCCATGGAGAAGAAGGTCCAGGTGCGCCCTCACATCGCGCGACCGTGCTTCATGGTACAGCCAACTTCTCTGCTCTATTCTTTTCTCTCTCTCTCTCTCTCTTTCTCTTTCTCTTTCTTTTTCTCTTTCTCTTTCTTTTTGCCTGTCTCTCTCTTTCTCTCTCTCTCTCTCTCTCTTTCTCTCTCTCTCTCTTTCTCTCTCTCTCTTTCTCTCTCCTGTTTTTTCTCGTCCTGCTGCGATATATACCTACTTCCACGTTCTACGTGCTAGGTTTCCACGTGCTTTGCGTATGTACCGAAATGTACACGTGCTCCCATCGTACAACGCGATTAAACGCGAAAGTGCGTCACGTAACGCGAATCTATGTCTCTCATTCTCTTTCTTTCTTTCTTTCTTTCTCGTGCAACCACCTAAAGCCGAAGAATAGGGATTGAAGTGCTGGCATGTAAAATGAATGGTGGATGTAAATGACAAGTGGTCGAGAGTACGAGTTCTTTTACTCCTTCTATTACTCTTTCTACCCGTTGCCCGATCGCTTTTACTTTCTCTTTCTTTTTTCTCTCTCTTTCTCGCTCTTGTTCTCCCTCTCTTTCTCCTCTATTCGTTCCTTCTCCTTTTTTGTTTAAAGTATATTCATGAAGTAAAACGTTCGAAGGGTAGTCGAAAAATTATCCGGAGAAACGATTGAAAATAATTTCTTAAAAATATTTGATGAACCGTAAGAAAGAATAAGAATAAGAATAAGAAAAGGAGAGAGAAACAGAGAGAGGGAGAGAGAGAGAGGACGCGTGAGATGAATCGGTGGGTGGTCAATTTTCGTGAGGGGTCCCAAGACTCACGCGCACCTCGTTATCCGGCATGTCTCAGCGCTCGAGGGAAAAAGAAAGAGAAAGAGAGAGAGAAAGAGAGAGAGAGAGAGAGAGAGAGAGAGAGAGAGAGAGAGAGAGACAGAAGACGAGACAAGCTCAGACACTGAGATGACGCAGCACCGGCTCCTGGTTACCTCTCTGTCCATTGTTCTCCCCGCATTTCTTCTCAGCTCGTGCTCAAGTGCTCGATCGCAACCCTTCCTCGAAAAGCTCGAATCCCTCGGTGCACTTTTCACTACCGCATACCATCGTTGCGCGCTCTATCGTCTTTCGTTTTACGTGGCCGCGTCAGGAGCTTTAATTTCGTCCACTATATTCCCTCGCTCTTCGACTTTTTTTTTAAGGATTTCCTTTGTAACTATGTTTCTCTCTCTCTCTCTGTCTCTTACTTTCTCTCTCTCTCTCTCTCTCTCTCTCTCTCTCTCTCTCTCTCTTTCATTTTGACTTCTTGAATTTTTTTTAGTAAGATCGAACATTGATTTTATACGATAAAATCTCCCACGGATCAATTCGAGAAATAGAAAAAGAACGTTAAGTAAATATCTTTAGAGAATGAATTTTCACATGCACGGGAGTGGAACTGCATAAAGAATGAAACGATAAGAATATAATCGCGGTGGAAGACGAAAGAGATCGAAAGATGAAGCGAGGTGGAAGAAGTCGGTCCGTCGAGAGGAGGTAGTTACATAGAAAGTATAAAGGGAGAGTAAAGGGAGTCGGAATAAGTCGACATAGAAGGAAAGGAGCCAACATTCGTCATTAGACGATTACTACTACTTTATTGT